TCCTTCCTTCCTTCCTTTGTGAAGTGAAGCTGAATGATGCCCAAATGCAATGAAATATTAGGGGTGGGGGCAAGAGGAAAGCAATTAAAACCAAACGAATTAAGAGAGAAAGAAAAAGAGAGAAAGAGAGGGAGAGAGATTTTTTTTTTTACTTGCCTGAAACATTAAATGGGCTTATTTCTTCAGCTGTGATAAATATTTAATTATCTAAAGTAATTGTGTTAGGGGATTTCAGAGGGCAGCTCTTTCTTTCTATTTTATTTGAATTCTAGACAAAAAGGGGGCATGCATGCATCTGCACAAAATATATATATTGCATGTGCACGCGCATACACAGACACACACACACACACACAGACACACATATGTTTGCCAGCTCTGTCCTTTCAACTGGCAAAGCATCTTCTAACAGACGTACCCTTATAATTAGGAAGAATTGTCTTTTCATACTGCTAATTTGAATGGGCTAATTAGTCCATGAATATTTAGTGTTTTCCATAGGCAAATGTTAAGTCGGGGTGCAGATTATTCAGCAGGTTTGATCCTGTGTCTCAGTAAGCCATTCTGTCAACCCAGACCTTTGTGGTTCTTCTCGTGACTGCTTCTTCATTTGAACCTCCCTGGTATCCTTTGCAGGGGGCTGAGAAAGTGTGCTTAATGGGAGGTAGATTCCCCCAGCGAATTTACGTGACCAGACATGCACCACAGCAGTGCATTTAGTGAGCCTTATGAAGGGGTCTTCCTAGAGTTATCTCCGGATCCAGGTGTATCTCATTGCTCTCCAAACCACCGAGGCATGATCCAGGGACAGAGGAGCAGGAACCTTTTATTTGTAAGTCAGTTCCCTGAGCAGAGAAAAAAAACATGGATACAATTTTCATGCGAGAAGAAAACACACCTTTCATAGCAACAGCCACGAAATATACAATACTGCTGCATTAATTCCTGGGCTCCTAATTCTTTCTCCCCCGCTAGGACTTTTAGCAAAAGAATTAGGTATTCATTTCTTTACTGATCAAGTTCTGTAAGTCTTTTCTTCCATTACCTGGGGGGGGGGGGCTTCTCAGGTTTTTGCCTTGATACAAGCTTCCCTCCCCACCTCTCGGTGAAAGCATGCTGCAGGAAAACCCTGATCTCTCTAAACTTTGAATTGACAGATATAATTGCTTTCAGATATTTATTTGCTCAGGTGAATCTTCACAGAATGCCTTTAGACTCCCATTGGCTAATATTACACATTTATGCCATGTTATAATTGCAAATCAAATGACAAGCATTTACTTAAGGCAATGTGATGCCGGCAGAAAGCTTTTACCCGCTGAAAGCTCCATTTCGTATCAGTTCAAAACATGGTACCTGTTCTCGGCTTTATTATTTCACAAGATGCATCATCCTTGAGGAGCCACCGAAAACCATCCACCATGTCCGTTTTATTATCTCCATCTCTGTTCCCCTGACCTTAAAGTGTTCTCTACCCACAATTACTCATGAGAATCCCATTATGGTCAACAGACGCCTATAGGTCTCAGTGACCTCCTCTTTGGACGAGCAGGACTTCAGGGGAGAGGGTTAATAGTACACTTCACACGACCGACCGATGCGTCTCAGTTCATGCGTACCAAAGATCCTTCTTCTGTACAAGGCCTAGGTTTGCCGGCTGACAATGGCGTTATTTCTAGTCGGGTTGCAAATAACAAAGCCCTCTAAATGACGTTCCATGATGGGACGCCGGGGTTGATGTCTCATTATGAGAAGCACGGTGCCTCATTGTGCGGAGTATCTGACAGTCTCTTTGTTTTCTTGCTAACAGGCTGTTTGGGGGGCGATGGAAAGACAACAGAACAACATCGTACCATTGTGTCGAGTTGTCTGGGACTCCCCTGTTTAGGTCCGACCGTGACTGGGCGATAATTGTCAACATTTCCCTGGATCCGAGCCTCTGTGAGTTTGCGTGCTTCTGCTGATGTCTTCACCCTTTCACATCTGGATCCAAATTCTCAAAGAGTTGCTCATATTCTTTCACGGTGGTTTCTTTTCCTAGCGGGATCCTTTTGTATGAAGCTTCCACCAGCCGAACTGGACACAACATCCACGTTCCACTTTCTTTCCTGCTCAGCGTAGGTACAGCAAGAAAGGCTGGCTAGGTGTAAATCCCTAGTGCTGTTTGGGGTCTAGTTCAGGGCTTCAGAAATAGATCCTGATTTGATCCGGAGCAATTTGTGCTCTGTCTGATTTGATCTGTGCTCTGGATCTGCATTGATTTGAGAAGCTTCCCCTTTGCACTGAAGGACTCAAGTGAGTGCAACCCTTCTGTTTTTTTTTGTTTTGTTTTGTTTTGCACTCTTGTGCCTGTATTTGGGCAACTAGATAGACCCTGAAGAGGAGAGGGAACAGCTAGCTTTTAAGAGGCTTGCATTTTAAATGTTTTCTTTTTAAAAATAACATGCTAAGAAAGTAAGCTGATGCAGTTTGCACCTCATCATATGTGCATCTGAATTAATTAGTAAATTTGCTTTACTTTAGCCCTGAATGAAATCTGGTGGTTCTTTTTCCATCTGGGTCTCAGACACATCGGTCTCAAGTCAGGCTGGTGCTGTTCATAATCTGGGCCACGTGGCTCTTTGCGCACGAGAGTTTTCCTCCCTGTCATCCCCCACCTCCTCTCGTGGAGAAGACCCGCTTGACAGCCGAGCCCTCCTTCTCCTGTGCCAGATGCTGGTGCCCCTACCTCCTGCCAGAGGTTGCCGGTCAGGGTCTCTTCCTTGGCCTCCCAGGCTTGACACCTTCGCCAGATAATGGAATTCTGGAATGTGAGCGGTGGAGCAGGTGCATGCTAATGAGGAGATCAATTTTAATTATGATTTTAATTAAACACCCAATCCGGGAGGAAATATGACAAGCCGGCAAGAAATACCAAATTTGCAAGGGGAAGAAGGCCGCAGAGAGGGTCAGGGTCTCTTCCTTGGCCTCCCAGGCTTGACACCTTCGCCAGATAATGGAATTCTGGAATGTGAGCGGTGGAGCAGGTGCATGCTAATGAGGAGATCAATTTTAATTATGATTTTAATTAAACACCCAATCCGGGAGGAAATATGACAAGCCGGCAAGAAATACCAAATTTGCAAGGGGAAGAAGGCCACAGCGAGGGGGGAAAAGGATTTCAAGATAAAGATAAGACAATAAAAGAATCACAGAAGAAGCGACAACTTCAACAGGAATGGAAGACCAAGATGTGCAAGAGGACACGTGTCTCAGAGTCTTTTAGCAAGGCAACAGCAGAGGAAACCCTTCCTAGCAACGACAGAGAGAGTACGTACAAGGAAGCAGGCTAATCAGGATGAGCTGTTGGGATTCCCTCCCCGCCTCACGAGCCCTGCTCTCCTTTATCCTTCACAAGACGTTTGACAGCTGGACTGGATGCCAGACTGAACCCGGAGCTGGTTGCCTTTCTCACCTTCCTGTGTGCGTTTCATTTGTTCCATTTGCTTTACATTTGTCATCTTTAAAAGATTTTTAAGAACAGGGATAGGGGACTCAGGGCTTCATTTAAAAAAAACCCTTATTAATTAAAAAAATTAATAGCCACCTTCAGGGGATGAAGACCCTCTGGGTCTCTTCATAGATCTCTAGATTTGACAGTGATTGGGTGGCTCCCAACTTTTGCCCAGGTTTCTTTTTCTGTTCCAAGAAAGGTTGGAATGTCTCCCCTAAAGATGAGTTGCTGGCTTTACGGTACAAGAGGTTTTAGTATTCTGGGCACAGCAACTGCCGCGTTGCCTCTGAACTCAACGCCAGGCCTTGCACTGAACGAGGCAGCTCCCTCTTGCTCCGGAGTACCGGACACGGAGAGGGGTCTCCGCTGGTCTCTTTCCAGCTGCTCTTGGGGTCTTGGTGAGCTCTTCCCCAGGAAGGCCCTGGATGGGAAGCAAAGGGGGGGGGAGCCAAGGTTCAGGGGGAGCCGAGCCTTGTTCCTTGTGTTGATGCATGGCCCCTGACGAAGTGCCTAATGCGGCAGCAGCTGCTGAGAATGGCTTTGGGAAGCTCATCTGTTATCCGAACACACCTTCGCTCTTGCCGTGTCACCACCAAGCTATTGATTTAGCCATTTGGGCTTCCACCGCCTCTTCTTCTCCCTAACTAATGATGCCATTTGTGAAAGAGAGAGGGGGGTGGACAGGCCCCGTCACCTGACATCCATCATACAGGCCCAAGTGTCGGTCTAGACAGACAGCTGGGAGGAGAGCACGTGGTGGAAACTTGCCAGCCACCAGCTCTCCTCCAAGCTGCCTTAGGAGCCTCTGATGCAAGGACTGGTATTCAAGGATTCTGCAGAGCACGAGCAGGGAACGCATCTGGAAGCTCTACCTCCATAAGCCGATTTCATTTCAGGGAATTCCTTAGCAAAGAGCTGTGGAGTTATGCCATCTCTCGTGGAGAATTCTCAGCCTCAGGAGATGGGACGAGATTTCCAAGAGTTTGCTTCAGGAAGGGAATGGGTTTCTTGGGATACCAGTGGAGATGATTTCTCGTCACCCAGTTGTGGTGGAAGTAGATTGCAAGGGAGCAGCTTCCCATTCCCATTGCCCAGCCCAAACCTGATGCTGTGGGCTCTTGTACAACAACTGAAAATAATGTGCGTGTAGGAAAGAAAGAAAGAAAGAAAGAAAGAAAGAAAGAAAGAAAGAAAGAAAGAAAGAAAGAAAGAAAGAAAGAAAGAAAGAAAGAAAGAAAGAAAGAAAGAAAGAAAGAAAGAAAGAAAGAAAGAAAGTAAGTAAGTAAGTAAGTAAGTAAGTAAGAGAGTAAGTGAACGTGACAGGCATTTGGATTTCCCGCATGACCTTCAAAAAATAATATGCACACACTTGTACCCTGGAAGCACTGCTGCACTTAGTCGGTGGGCTCTGCCGCTGACTGGGAGCCAGGATAAGATGTTGACCCAGGCATGAAAGCCACCGAACTCCATAACACCAAAATATTCTCTTAGAATATCTTCAACTCTTACTCATAGGTTTTTATATAGGAGAATGTCGTATTCAGTGGATTGCTTTCTTTGTGTATATGAACACTGTTCTTTGACTGTATTCAAGGTGATTTGACTCAGCACCAAATATTTTAAGGAGCTCTTCCAGCGATGTGCTGCTGAAGCATTGCAGCTCCGTGGGACTTCATGGGCTGCTCTGAAACCCAGTAGCCCTAAGTGTGAACATGGCGGACCTCCCGACATGCCTCGTGGTCTTCACAAGTGTTGTGTAAAAGGACCAAAGGGGGCTCATGCCAATGGGCCCATGGGCTCGGCCACGGAGTGGGTGCCACTCCCTCCTGGATTTGACAGTGGTCCCCTCCCAGTCTACTCTAGGTCTGCGCTTCTGGCTGTCAAGCAGAAGCTGCAACAGGGCATCTTTCTGTCGGGCACGGAAGGGGAGCAAAAGCCAAACACGGGCTTCTCTTTAGCCATCATGTTCCTCCCTCCACCACTAAGTTCCTCCACCAGGCCTGGTTGTGATTTTCAGCAGCTGCAGCAGCCTCTGGCCCCACCACCGCAGCCTCATTTTGCCCCCGTTTCACAGCTGCCCTGCTCAGCGCTCCACGGAAGTGCAATGACTCTAACTGGGGAGGAGGATGGGGCCCGAGATTAAAACTACCTGTCGGGACCTGGTTCTCCTTACGATTTAGGCGGGGGCTCCAGAAACCTTTCTCCCCTCCAGGCAGAAACCAAAAAGGGTGGCCACAGCTACCTGTGGGATGGAGGCTTTTGTGCCGGACTCTTTAAGTCTGGAGCGAGGAGACCCTTGTGCTCCCCTCGGAGGCCGGCCATTGTTCGAGCCAAGAGATAACCCGGGGACAAAGTGAGAAGCAATTTGTCTGGGCAGGAGCAGCTTTTCTTCCCCAGGAGAAACGGCTCACGGAGAAATAAAAGGGACACCGGCTTACATGAAAGGCAGGCCAGACTGCTGCTTTCTCTCTCAGGTCTCTCCCAGCCCGGATCTCCCTGGCAATTTGTACAAATGACACCGTTTTCTGCCAAAATGGAAAGGGGGTGAGAAACCTGCCCCCTCCCCCCCGTGCCCCTTCGACTTGAGTCGTTGTCTTTCTTCCACTCTCTCACTCCTTTGCGAGGAACTGTGCGGTCTCTGGGAAGGACCGCTCTTCTTCTTCTGCACGGAAGCACCTCTGACACCAGGTAAGAGGAGAGGTGCCTCACAGGCTGGGCAGGCCGGCCAGCCGGCTTAGAAATCCCAGGGAAATCCCTCATGAGTGGTGGGCGGGTTGGTGCCTCTCATCAGCAGGAGCTGATCATTGGGCGTCTGGCGAGCTGGAGAGCACCCCTGGGTGCTTTGAAGGGGATCAGCATCAAAGACAGGGAGCAGCAGCAGCAGCAACTCACCTGAACTTAAAAGAAGGGGAAGGTCAAAATATGCATGTAAGAAATGGAGGCAGCTGTTTTCAGTTTGGAACAGAGGGGCCAAAAACCAGCAGAGGGGCAGACGAGGTCTCCTTTCCAGGCCTTGTTTCAGGCTTCTGGATCAGCCACCCGGCAGAATGGCCTCCACTGGGGCTCTGTTGATAGATTTGCAGATAAAGCAGACGCTGCAAATGCATGTCATTCTCCCAGGTGTCCGTTCCTCCAGAAGCAAAGAAGCCCACTGGCAAAGAACTTATGCCTTGCCAAGAAACAGGGGGTGTGTCTTTAGGAAAGGCAGAGCACAGGAAGGAAGTGGGATTCCCCCCAAACGTGCATGTGTTGATGGGCAGGGATGCAAAAATGAGAAATATCTGAATAGTTTGAATTCAACCACTGCACATTTCACTTGAGCGTTAGGGAGATGGTCACCAGCTGAGCTGGGTCTTGGCTCTTGGCTGTTGTCCTGCCGCTGCTCATGGTGGATGATGGATGGATGGGCAAAGTGAAGGTCCCTGATCCCCCTCCTTGAAGGGGGGAATCTCCTTTTAAAATCAGACTTAAATAAAGAACTCCTTTCCAATAAAGGAAGGAAGGAAGGAAGGAAGGAACAAGAAAGAAAGGAGAGAAGGAAGGAAGGAAGGAAGGAAGGAAGGAAGG